ATTCTTCTAGATATCAAACAAAACCCGATTGAGAAAGATGTCTTGGAATTTTATCTGAATTTGAATTCAAAGGGACACTTGAACTTTGTGACTCTACAAGCAACTTCTGCACTGGTGCTGTTGCCTAGGACTTGGTAGCATTTTGTTGTTGTTATAATTGCTAGTGTCTTTTATATAACAGAATAAGTAAAGACTCATTGTGTGAAATTGCGTTTGCAAGATTCATCAATGGATATCTAAATAAGCAAATCGCCGCATAGCACTTTAAAGTGTTACACTATCAATTGATTTTGATCTCCTTTCTGTTACCCTGCTGGCTCTATTTGAAACATGTGCTTCTTTAAAAATATATGAGCAGAAGATAAAAGGAGAGAAAGAAAAGATGTTCTCCTATAACACAGAAGATCCAGAGAACATCAAAGAAGATCACAAATAGATGCCTGTGCAAATAGCCCCATAGCACTTTAAAGTGTTACACTATCAATTGATTTTGATCTCCTTTCTGTTACCCTGCTGGCTCTATTTGAAACATGTGCTTCTTTAAAAATATATGAGCAGAAGATAAAAGGAGAGAAAGAAAAGATGTTCTCCTATAACACAGAAGATCCAGAGAACATCAAAGAAGATCACAAATAGATGCCTGTCCATCTACCTTTCAAAGATCTATGCAGTCCATCATTGTGTTTCAGTGCTGGCAACCAGATTCAAACTAAGTGCCAATCAATGGAAAATCTATTGTTTTTTCCATACACAACTACCTCCTCTCATATGATAAAGGTGCATCACCTACTCCGGTCTAATATGCGGTCCATGATTGAAACAGGTATAGGGCTCTACACCCCGCCTCACCCTTGAATGATTAAGTCTACAAGTTGCTGCTTCACCAACCTCAAATGGGTTGTCCTGTCTCTATCAATATAAAAATAAATTCCTTTCCCTCACCCCTCAGGAAATAAATGTCTCTTACCACACATGAATATCTAGGCCAATTATCCCAAGAAAAGGATAGGTTTTTAGCAGCCATAGGAGTTAACTTCTGAGCTTGGAAAAGTTACTTTCTCAGCTGTCATTTTCAGAGAACTTGCTTTGTTCTGGTTTTGCAAGAATTTTCTCCCAGGGATCCATGTATACACAGCAAAGTGGTCTATGTATACAGTATATGTTAAAATGCAAGGATTCAAGTGTGCTATTTAAAAAAAATATAAGAAAATAAAATTAAAACAATGATTTAAACCCTTGCTACGGGAGAAGATGCATTTCAGGAGGTGAGTGGGGAGGCAGTCAAGCTGCCAAGCCTGACAAGAATGGGGCAGACTGTTATTCTCACTACAGCATAAATTCTCATTTCATATTAGATTCCTCAAGGTAATGAAATCTTTCAAAAGGAGCTTTGATTCTCTAACAAAGACATCTTTCTTTATGGCAACCTGTGCATGCTTAGACCTAAATGGCCACAAGTGCTATGAAACAAATCTTTCCAAACAAAATGGCAGAGGAGAGCCAATGTAAGCACAATGTACCCTGTAAACAACACTGGGTACATTGTGGCAATAAATAAATGTACCTATACAGCTTACACTTCCCTTGTTTCACATATTGCATCAAGTTGCAGAACAGAAGAAGTAAAACGAAGCCAAGCTCAGACAGTATAAGAATTTGTGGCCATGCTACCAGATGGATTCTCACAGCTGTAGTCAAAAAAGGGAACTTTCCCTAGCTCTAGCTATTCCATTGATGTTTCTGAGACTCCAGCTGCCTTTTAGTCGTTCCCCAGTGAATCCACCAGTTCCACTGAGCTACCTGAAGTGTTTCTGTCTTAGCTGGTCATTAATATTAGAGCTGTAATTGTACAAATTGACTCTTGTGTTTGCTTTTCTTCCTCTTCCTTCCCTGTCCCTATTTCCCTTTGTGCTGCGTCTTTTTGATTGCAAACCTGCAGGCAAATATTCTAAACATGAAATCTAATATACTGCGACACAGTCCTCTTTTTCAAACAGTGAAAATTTTCAGGCTCAAATGATGAAGGGCTTTTAATCAATGCAAGCCCTCTGTAACCTAAAAATCTTAGCTAAGGGGGTAACCTGAAGGCTTCAAGTAAAAGAAGACTGGCACCCCCCTGTATTCTGTATACTGGGTAATAATATATACTGTATATTTTATAGTATCTTTTGGAGGTGAGCTGTGGTTTAGGTCTCTGGCTAGAGAGCCAGCGATTGGCAGTTCAATTCCCTACTGTGCTTCCTGAAAGTAAAGCCAGCCTGTGTGGCCTTGGGCAAGCTGCAGAGTTCCAATATGCCCCCCTAATGAAGGCGATGGCAAACCACTTTTGAGTATTCTCTACGTAGAAAACCCTGGAAAGGGTCATCGTAAGTCAGAATTGACTTGACAGAAGATGATGATGATGATTGGAGGTGAGACACAAGACCAATTGTGGTTGGTGCAGCAAAAGGACCAGCACAGGTGGGCAGAGCCAGAGATGCTAGGAAGGGCTGGGGCAAAAGTGGATCTTAAGTTTCAAACAGGCAGCAAGGGGACACAGACAGACCCCCACCTTCTGGTTTTAGTTGGGAGATAAGCAGAATGAGCTGGCTGGGGATAGCTTAGAATTTAGACATGGCCAGCGTTCCACACGCACAGAGACTAGCCACCACTGCATATGCCATTTAGTAATATCTTTATTCACAAATACAGTATAAATACTGGTGATCAGCATAGATCATGTCTCAACTGGTCGTCTTAGGCAGACAGTCTTGTCAGCCAACATTTTTTTAGAAAATCTGTAAGGGTTGACTCGTTTGTGCTATAATTAATTGTGTTGCTAATGCTTGCCATCACTCAAGACTGTATGTGGAAGGCAATTAAAGCTATTCATAGCATTCAAACTTTTCACAAGTAACACAGGCTTTTGCTTGGGTTGTTTTGGTTTTTAAACAAAAACAAGTCAGATCTCGGAAGTCTCTGAAAGATGTTGATACTTGAAAGAAGCTGCTAGGTTTGGATTTTTCTTAACAGAGGAGAAAGGACATCTTTTCCTCCTCCAGCTTTGCTTTCCTAATGTAGAGAGTGACAGCCTGAAGATAAAAGCCTCAGGTATTCATGGAGGCTCTTCATGTGATCTGTAACCATGAAAAATCATGGCTCCCAACTATGGGGATTTTTGCTGTCTGTGTGTGGAGATTATACTCACCTCCTTGCAGGTTTATTTTAACCCTGTTTTGAATGTCTGAACAGGGACTTTAAAATCATGCATGTGTGAGAGTAGGAATGGGTAGTTTGACAGAGAAACTCAAGTCTGGTGTTCCTGGATTTTATTCCGTACATGAACATCTAGCCTCACTCTCCTGCATCATCACTCTTCTCACATGGAAAGTGAATAGGTTGAAGAGGAGAAGGTTCCATTTGCATGGAGGCCTTCCACACAAGGAAAAATGGTGATCTTCCAGCCTTCTTCCTCATGATGAGAATCTCATGTGAACAGGTACTTGTTCCCTTCAGACTCGCAGAATAATACAATCAAAATAATGAAGTTGGAAGGGGCCTATAAGGCCATTGAGTCCAACCTCGTTTTTTTGCAGGAATACAGATCAAAAATATCTGCCAGGCGGTTGTCTAAATTTCTCTTGAATGCCACCAGTGTTGGAGTACTCACCACATCTCAAGGTAATTGATTCCTTTCCTGTACTGCTCAAACAGTTAGGAAATTTTTCCTGATATTCAACGAAAACCTGGCTTCCTATCACTTGAGCCTGCTGTTGTGTGTGCGCTTGGGGATGGTTGAGAACAGATTCTGCCCTTTGAAAAGTGCTATCATATCTGCCTTAGTCTTCTTTTCTTGGGGCTAAGCATACCCAGTTCTTCCAGTCTTTCCTCATAGAGTTTGGTTTCCAGCCCCCTGATCATCCTTGTTGCTCTTCTCTGAACTTGTTCCAATTTGTCTGCATCTTTCTTGAAGTGTGGTGATTCCCCGCCCTCTGCTCCCCCACCACCTTTCTTTCTCCCCTTTACGTTTGCCAGCTAGTTGGTGTGTGCAATTCTGAGGACAAATGTAGCATTCAGTTTTATTGTTGATGTTTTGGTTACCTGATTTTAAATCCTCGCAGAGATAATTGTGTTTTCCATACTCATTTTAAAAAATAGTCCCTTAGCACCAAGAGTGTGGTACACCCATATAATACCCATCATACAAGCTTCCAGGTGTAAAATTGCATAATAAGTTGCATATGAGTGTGTTTTTTCTGACGCATTAGTTTCTGAGATAATGAGGCAATGATATTACTTTGGAACTAATAACTACTAATATTATTTGGTGCAGCAAGTAACACTTACTCATCATATCAAAATGTTTCAGGAGGTGATTTCAGGGATATTGTTTGCCATCTCAAAATCATTTTTTAAAGAGTCAAGAAGGAACACATTTGGCTGCATGTTTATAATAAGCAATTCAATACTTGTCCATAATGCAGGACAAATTGCTTCTCTAACATACACATTAATTTCTGCAGTGCCTTTTAGAATATTGTCTACAAGCTGCACTCCAGTAACTGGCTTCAATAGCAATGGAGAAGGTCTGTGAGAGTCAGTTTCATGAAAACATCTCCCTCACTTCAACTCCCAGTTTCCAGTTTGGAAAACAACTTCTGATTCAGCCTTAACATATTTTTAACATTTCATGTAAACCCTTTCTCCCATTTCTCTGCATGTGTGTACTACAGACATTTACAAAAGATTGCAAAAACTAGCCCCACAATGGAAAGAGCAATCCATTTATGACAGCAACTTTCTATGAGTATGTTAAGTACCAGTCATTCCCAACCACAGTGTTATTTACTCCAATATTCAGTATCACTGGAGTCTTGTGAAATTCATGATGTGAATCGAAAGCATCTTTCCGTTTAGAGGCAGGAAAATCAAAACTACTGTGTATGGTACAAAACACCCCCATAGCAAAACACATTGCAAAATGCACCTTCTTCTTCAATGTCACCCTTGTGTTTTCTTACCTCAGTGCTATTTAAATGGCAAGTGTGCGTTCCGGAAAACCAGCCTTCATTGGAACATTGGTCAATGTCCACTTTCTGCAGGTTTATATCCACTTTCACAACACCCCTGAAAGAAGGAAAATATCACCATTAATTTGCATTGGGCCAGCATACTATTTCTCTGAGGCAAGAGACAAAAAAACAACATTTAATCTCAACTGTATAAATGAGGAAGTATGATTAGAGAAATAAACCATATCATTAAATTGCTCTGATTATAAGTGCCAAACTTGTTCCGATGAGGAGCGCCAAGAATGGGAAAAACACCTTTCATCTGGCTGCTATACATCTGTGAGTGGTTGCAACTGATATTTTTAAGGTTTGTGTATTTTTTTAACCTCAAGAGCTTGCGAACATCTACCCATCCAAAAGCTGTTGGCTCAGCCTAAAAGGTACTATTCATCCTATTCATTCCACCCATTTTCTGCAACACAATAAGCTTCCAATTGACTCTTAGAATGTTCTGATTCATCCTGAGATCATGTGTTGTTTTTCAGAAGAGCCATTCATTTTGTTTTGATATCAGTGGGACCCATTCGTGTCACAGAACAGACTGCACCAGGTAGCTTTGGTAATTTTCAGAAAAATATATCCAAGAGAGATGTTATTATTCAGTATGATTCAGGGAGACACTGAGCATCATTTGTGAAGTGGATCTCTCTTGCACTTTGCCTCGCGTCCATCTTCGAAGTGGAGAGGGTGCCATTGTTTAATTGACTACTTGCTTGGGTACAAGACACCAACCTCTCCTACCACCTTGTCTGATGTTGGAAGCTAAGCTGGTTTAGTATTCAGACCTGGAGGTAGAGAAACAATCCTGCTTGAAGCCTTGTAGAGTTGCTTCCAGTCAGAGTTGACAGGGATCTCGAGCTTGAACTTATGAACTAAGAATTATGAATTAAGAATTCTTATGGAGCCATGTCTAAGTGGTATCAAACTCAATCAACGTACCAATGGAAGGGAGGTCAAGACCCTATGACCTGAGCCAGTCACAGTCACTGTCCTTGTCTCTCAAATATTCTGTCTCAACCAGACCTCCTTGACAGAGTTGTGGTGAGGATAACATGGGGAGGAGGAGAGCTTTAAAGCTTACTAGAGGAAAGTCAATATACAAGTGGAGCTGATAAATAAAATAGGGTAGCTGTGCTAGTCTGTGCTAGCACATCAGGCAGAGGCAAAATAAAAATAAAGAAGACAAAGACCTTGTGGCAACTTAAAGACTAACTGCTAACAGATCTCTGAAGAAGTGGACTTGTCCATGAAAACTCACATTAAAAGATAGCAGTTAATCTTTAGGGTGTCACAACTTTTTGTCTTCTTTATTTTTATTTTGTTTTTGCCTAATTAGGTAAATAAACTTACTACTCTGTTTGCTGAATCACCATTTTATCCCACATATAATTTACATTTATCCTGTTCAGCTGAGAAATAAATAAACCTACTACTCTGTTTGCTGAATCACCATTTTATCCCACATATAATTTACATTTATCCTGTTCAGCTGAAGCTGCTTTTGTCACCTCTTTCAAGCCTCAGAGAGGCAGTGTAGAAACAGTTGAAATATGTGAAAACTTGACTTCTACCTGAATCTCAAGTGCATTGATGCTAGGCTTAAAAGTTATAACCTACTGAATTATACGGGGCAACAGTAGGTTTTACTTCCTTGAGAGAAAAGTCACTTTGCTAGCCATTGGACTGTAGTGTCCCCTAGGGTTCTGTTTTGTCCCCTGTGCTATTTAACACCTACATGAAACCATTGGGAGAGGTTGTGCCGAGTTTGGGGTTTTGGTGTCACCAGTATGCTGATGACACCCAACTCTATCTCTCCTTTCCATCTAAATCCAAGTCTTGGTTCTAAATCAGTGTCTGGAGTCACCAATGGACTGGACCAGGGCAAATAAACTGAGATGTAATTCAGACAACACAGAGGTGCTCCTGGTCCAGGGCAAGTAAACTGAAATGTAATTCAGACAACACAAAGGTGCTCCTGGTCAGCCGAAAACCAGATCAAGGAATAGGGTTGCAGCCGAAAGCCAGATCAAGGAATAGGGTTGCAGCCTATGCTGGATGGAATTACACTCCCTCTGAAAACAGATGTGCAATTTGGGGGTGCTCCTAGATTCATCTCTGAGCTTGGATGCCCAGGTTTCAGTGGTGGCAGGAGTGCCTTTGCTCAGTTAAAACTAGTGTGTTAGCTGTGCCCATTTCTTGAGAGGTCTGATCTGGCCATGGTGACACATGCCCTTTGTGGGCTGCCATTGGAAAATATTCAGAAACTCCAAAGGTCCAAATGCCTCAGCCAGATTGTTAAATGGGGTTTGTAACAGGGAACATATCTTTCCCCTGTTGTAGCAGCTCCACTGGCTGCCAATCAGTTTCTGGACGTCATTCAAAGTGTTCGTTTTTACCCATAAGGTATCTAAAAGACCGCATTTCCCTCTAGGAGCCTACCCAGGTATTAAGATCATAGAATCATAGAATCATAAAAAAGTGAAGTTGGAAGAGGCCTATAAGGCCATCAAGTCCAACCCCCTGCTCAGTGCAGGAATACAGTCAAAGCATATGTGCCAGGTGATTATCTAATTTTTTCTCACCAAGGTAACTAATTCCACTGTTGTACTGCTCTAACAGTTAGGAAGTTTTTCCTCAAATTCAACTGAAATCTGGCTTCCTTTAACTTGAGTCCATTGTTGTGTGTCATCAGCCTCACACGTGTGCTTGTTGGGGACATGGTCTTCTCTGTCGCTGCTCTCAGGCCCTGGAGCTCCCTCCAGGGAGCTGTCCCCATCTTTGCTGTTCTTCTACAGTGGGGACATGGTCTTCTCTGTCGCTGCTCCCAGGCCCTGGAACTCCCTCCCATGGGAAGCTAAGCTGTCCCCATCTTTGCTGTTCTTCTACAGGCAGGCAAAGACAAAGGTCTTCAGTCAGGCTTTTCCTTAATAACTGATGCTCTGAGTGGGGTTTTAAATGGGTTGTTATGCTCTATTGTTTTAAATGTGTTTTAATATTGAGCTTAGTAACCATTTTAATATAATATTTGTTTAATTCTTTTTAAAATATTTGTATACTTACTGTTTTTAGCTTTTAAATACTGCACTGTTTAATGTAAGCTGCCTTGAATCCTTTTGGAGAGAAAGGCAGGACAGAAAAATTTAAAAAAAAATTGAATAAATTCTGGTGTATGTGAATGTAAGCTGCCTTGAGTCCTTTTGGAGAGAAAGGCAGGATAGAAATATTTTAAACAAAAAAATTGAATAAATTCTGGTGTATGTGGACTCTCCCCTCTATTGCACTCATTTGAACCAAGCCTCAGCATGACCCCTGTCCAATTTCCATGGCCTCTGTCTGTCTTCCCTCTCCCTCACTCAAAGGGCACATACCAACAGTAACAGCTGGTCAACGCAGATTGCCAAATGCTACTCATCTTGCACATTCCCAGGAGTGTCAAGCCTAGAGGTCTGGAAATTTTCAAACTGGCACAGTATGCATCAAATACTTAGAAAGGAATGTGTATTTGAAAATGGATGCATTCGTTTGTTGAATTTCTTAATCACTTGTATTCACTATGGCTGCCCCATCCCACAGGAATTTTCTTCCTGAAGACTCACTGAAGTCCAGATGGCAAATTGAGGTCCTAGAGAAAACTCACTGAGAGGAAGGTTGACATGTCTCAGGACATGGCTGGATTTGCAAGGAATTGTCCATCTTGAGGTAGACAGAGAAATCTCAGGGTGAGCAATGAGGGAGAAGCGGAAGGTCTGATTTTTCTTTATGAGGTAGCATTAATGGCAGGACATTCATCTCTACTTATTCCCATCTTGTTCCAGGGCTGAGCCACTCAGCATTTCGATGTTCGCTTACGTTGCTCCAAAAAATACCACGGGTCCAGGTGCAGCCACCCACCAGCTTTCCCTCTTGGCTTTTTGGGACATCACTGTTGAACGCATCAAGGCACTTGATGGAGAGCAGACAGTGAAGCACCAGCATGGCAATTCAAGAGCCTCTTAGCTGTACAAGTTCTGGCAACAGTTGTGCTGAACCTGAGAAAGCAGCGGAATTTCTGTCTCAAGCCCTGCCTGCCTTGTCTCTGTGACATCACATGATTGACATCAGGTGTTAATCCTGAAATATCAGGCAACAGGATGCTATTGACCGGGCAATCCTAACTGAAATAAATGGGACTTCAGTTAACTGTGACAAACAAACCCTAACCTTTTCCATGGGTCTACTCTAGGTAGGAACAAGACTTGAAATTAGACCCAGGCTTGTAACTCCTTCTTGACCTTGGTTAGAGGATGAAGATTGCTCTATTTTATTGATCTCTGATCCCACTATTTAACTCAAGCCCTTTAGGATGTTCTAGATCAGATACGGGTAGACTTGTGGGATGTGATTTGGTTTTTTTACTAGAACTTCAAGATCTGCTAACCAAAGTTAGGTGCAAAAAACCCACATATATTCAGAGTGAGAGACTTTGCAGGGAATAAATTATTTCCAGTAACAGAATGGAATGCAACTGGCTGACCTTCCACCCAAGAAGACTGGTTATACAACTCTTTTTTCATAACTGGGTTGGGGAATCATATTATTGGTTAAGAGTACCACTTGAAGAAATTACTTTTGGGGGAGCACAATTCTTAGAATCTTCTCACTCACTGTGGCCAAAGCCAAACTGGTCAAGCATTCTGGGAACTGTCCTCCAGTGCATAAGATTTCCAGTGTCTGATTAAGAAATTATCTTCTACTGCAAAAATACAGAAATATACTAGGATATCCTGCCTTCTTGTCGTAATACACTGAAAAACAAAAATGAAATTTTGTTCCCTGTAGTCTACAAACACAGTGTTTGGAGGAATAACAAAACCACAGATTGGATTGTTAAGTGACGTGGGCGGAAGATCTCACCAACCTATTTTTCCTTCTTTAGCAGCTTCACTGTTTGAATCAATTGAGGTTTTTCATAAAATGGAAATATTCCCCCACATCTGCAAACTTTTATTTAGGCTACAGTATTTATTGATTTGATGAGACCGAGGGTTGAAAGGCATAGGGTTACCCAAGTATCAT